CATAGTTGTTTCCTCGTAAAGTCCTAGTAATAACATTACTAGGACTTTACGAGGAAAAAAACGCGGGCATAGCTATTTCCTAGTAAAGCAGTTTCCTCGTAAAGTCCTAGTAATGGTATTACTAGGACTTTACGAGGAAATAAAAACACGGGCATAGCTATTTCCTCGTAAAGGCCTAGTAATGTTACTAGGGCCTTACAAGGAAACAAAATTCCTTATATAAACTCGAGCAATCCGATTTCTCATTTGTAGTAAGCTTCTCTCTGAATTCTCTTAAGGTTCTCTCTATTTCCTACTTAGGTGGTTAGATTAGAGAATTTAGATTAGGTGGTTAGATTAGGGAATTTAGATTAGGTGGTTAGTTTAGGGAATTTAGATTAGGTGGTTAGATTAGAGAATTTAGATTAGGTGGTTAGTTTAGGGAATTTAGATTAGGTTAATTTAATTTTTTTAACTGTTTTTTTTAAATGATACTAGTATATTAATGATACTAGTTATCGAGCTGGGATGACTACTTCGTTCGTCAATTTTAACGAGCAACATCCGTAGTTTAGTTTTTTTTCTCTTTAATTGTATATGAATTTAAAACTTAAATATTTAGTTATTTATAAAATATTTTGTTATTTCTTTTTATTTATAATTTGGATTCTTTAATTTTTTAAAATATATTATTTATATTTATTTTAATTCTTTTTTTTAATAGGGAAAAATATTTCAAAGTAAATTCCTAGTAAAGCATTACTAGGAAATTACGAGGAAAGTGGAAAAACATTTCGAAGTAAATTCCTAGTAAAGCATTACTAGGAAATTACGAGGAAAGTGGTTACTAGGAAATTACGAGGAAAGTGGTTACTAGGAAATTACGAGGAAAATGGTTACTAGGAAATTACNTCCTCGTAAAATTACTACGAGTTTACTTCGAGTTTACGAGGAAACCATGTTTCCTCGTAAGGTTCTCGTATACTTACGAGAAAACAGTTTCCTCGTAAAGTCGTAGTAACATTACTAGGACTTTACGAGGAAAAAAACGCGGGCATAGCTATTTCCTAGTAAAGCAGTTTCCTCGTAAAGTCCTAGTAATTGCTTACTATGAAATTAAGAGGAATGAGTTTTGTTACTACGAAATTAAGAGGAAATAGATAGAAAATATCTAATTTAAATTTTGTACCTACTTTTCCTAGCAATTTCTTAGTAAATTCTCAGATTCGAAAATTTCTATAAATACCACTATATGTGATTCATTTGAAACACACCAAACAAATACAAAATACTCAATTCATAACTGAAAGAAGTTCACAGTCAACATAATAGTTTCTTATCAACTCCTCATAGCTTTTCCTCAAAGAAATAGCTTGGGGCTTTTCTTCAGGTAAATAGTTCGAGGAAAGCTATGTGGGGTTGATAAAAACCATTCCGATGACTGTATACTTCTTTTAGTTTTTTAAAAAAAAATTTTGATTTGGGGTTTAGGAAGATGTATAGGTATAAGTTATGGAATTTGGTTTAGGTTTAGGTTTAAGGTTAGGGTTTAGGGAATTTAGATTAGGTGGTTAGTTTAGGGAACTTATATTAGGTTGTTTAGTTTTGAAAATTTGGGGTTTAGGTGTAGAAGAGGTTAGGAGTTTGGTTGTAGAAGAGGTTATAAGTTAAGGAAGTTGTGGTTTGGGGTTTGGGGTTTCGAGTTTAGGGATTTACAAACCATTTC